CCCAACTGCAGACCCTTCTTCCGCCGCCAGTCCGACGCCTCTCGCGGCAGCTCATCCAACAACCTCTCCCTATCCCCCCCATCTCACGAACTAAACGACCTCCTCCCACGCCCATACTCCGACGTCCCTTCCTCACGCGACCGCTCCCTCTCCTCCACCACCGAATCACGGTTCCCAGCCTACTCCTCAGCTCCAAGATCCGACCGCTCGCGCTCCCAGAACATGCATGTTCAGTTGTCTATACCCCCGCCGATAACGGCTAGCGTCCTGTTGCCGGCTATAAACTTGACGTCCTCCTCTGTTTCGTCTACACAGACCCTCACCCCAAGACTTAGTGGGAGGAATATCGCGCCTTTGATACGGAGGGAACGGGCACTGCAGGCGGAGATACAGGAACTGCTTGACGCTCAGTCCGTCGGTCTCCTACGTGGCAGGGCACCAAAACCGCAAAATGGCAGCGGCGGCAGGACCTCAAAATCCCCGTCGAAGCCAGCGGCTACCCCGCGAACCCTCCACACAGCCCGCCTAGGCATCCTACGCGCCCTACACAGCCTCCTAGAGCTCTCGCAGATGAAACACTCCATCCTCCTCACCATACACACGACCCTCCAAGCGACCCTCGCGCAACTCACACACTGGCAGCGCAAACTCGCGGACTTAGACTCTAAAATCCACGCTCTCTCCCCGCCTCCCTCCGTCTCCGCTCCCGACGCAACTTCACCACACCGTAACCACTCCACCTCCCCTTCCAACGGCCACTCCCTATTGCCCAACGACATCCCCACCCTCGACCGCGAAATCTCCACCCTCGAAGCTAGGCTACACACCCTACGCACGCACCGGGCGTTCCTCTCCCGCGCTCTCCTCGAGCAGAGAAGTCGTCAAGAGGCGCAGGCGAGTAGTTGGGTCGGAGCGAAGCGTGAGGTTGAAGCTGAAGTCTCCGCGTGGCTGAGGCGGCCGACGGAGGCACTGGGGCTTGATGGCGAGGTGGCGGGGGAGGGGGGGGAGATGGATGCATTTCTTTCCTTACCCCCGGGACGACGGACGTTAGGTGGTGCGATTGATGCTATCCGCTCTGTGATGGTGGAGGTGAGAGGACAGATGGAGTCCGTTGAACGCGAGGGGGATGCGGTGGAGAGGGGGGCGGGAGTGTGGGAGGGGGTTTTGGAGAGGGTGTTGATGTTTGAGAAGGAGTTGAGGGGGTGGGTGAAGGGAGGCGGTGGGGGGGCGGAGTGGGTACTGGAAAAGATGGGGAGGGTGGGGGGGGGATAGAGGGGTTTGCGGAGGTGGTGGAACGGGAGGGGTGGACGTTGCTTGTTTGTGCTGTTGGGGCGGAGCTGGAGGCTTGGAGGGAGGGGGAGGGGGTGTTGAGGGGGGTGGTGGGGGGGTCGTCGCCTGAGGCGGGGTCGAATGATTCACCTCCCCAAGGTCTGGGAAGGGGGAATTCGGATGTGAAGGGGAAGGGGAAGAGAGTCGATAATTTTAACTCTAGTATGGGCAGCGAAGGCACAGACATCTGGGGAAGCGCGCTCGACACCCCCACCCCCAACCCCCCACCCGACGACGAACAAACCAGCACCTCTCACTCCGACACCCACTCCCCCGACGCTCTATCAACATCCCAGCGCCATCCCCGGTCTCTCAGCCCAACACCAACCCCCAGCCCCACCTACCCCCGACCCCGCAGCTTCAGCCCCGACGCAAACCCAGACCTGGATTTCAACATCGAACTCGAAGGTCTGAAACTATCAGGCGGGACACCGACGACGAGGAGTCCTGCGTTTGGTGGTGGTGGGAGTGGGAGTGGGAGTGGGTTTGTGGCGCCGATGAAGAGGGAGAGGGGGTATACGGATGGGGCGGGGGAGGGGGAGGAGGATGAGGATGAAGGGCCGGGGGATGATTTATTGGTTTCTCCGAGGGACACGTAGGGGGTTATAGCGTGGTGTTTTGTGGGTTACTTTCAATTGTAGCAATAGATTCAGTCTGAGGGGAAGGGGCAATTCTATGCATTCTCATAGCTTCATGTATGAACAGTTCTCCAGCCCATAATCATCTCCCAAATCCCAGTCCTCCCAGTGCGCCTCCTCCTCCTCCTCCTCCCAGTAGATTATACATCACGTGATACATCACACCCAATCGTCGCCAACCCCAAAAAGGCAACCGCGACAACCCCGACAACCATAGAAAAAGTATCGGGTATGCTCGGGCGAAAAGCACGGGCCTCGGTTCCTGGATTTCGGGGGAAAGTGTAGGTTGTGTTCTGCACGTTTGTGGGTGGTGCGTGGAAGTTTTCTGTGTTCTTTTTTTGCGGTGCATACTGTGATGGGCTACTGCTGTACTATATGTCTTGGAAGGCTATGCAGAGAGTCAAGATGCGAATTGTGGCTGCACGCATGGATGGATGGATGGACAGGTAAGTGAACAGGACTGCAGAAGCGACGAGAAAGGATATGCAGACAGACGCATGCTTGCATTTGGAATTCGCCAGAACGCCAGTTCACCTGCGTAAAAGACGGAGTGAAGTTCGTCCCTCCCATGTCTTCCTCTCGATCGATCGTTCACTTCGATACGGTATGTACAATCCCCAACACAGCTACCAAGCCAGCGGTAGGTCTCCTTCTCTCCTTCCCCCTCTCGCAAATCCAACATCACTCCTTTATTCATTCTCGTCTCCCTTTGGTATACCCCATCACCTCCTCCACTCATCCCTCCACCCCACCATCTCCTCAATCGCACATCATCTCACATGCTTGAACCACCCGCTCGCCGCCGCGATGGTGACGGACTTGTCCATGACCCATTCGCCGACGTCGAGGTAGGTGTCGATCCATTTCTTGACGTCTTTGTTGTCGGTGATCTTTTCTGTGTTGAAACTGGGGCTGGGGCCCAGATGGGCGTTGTTAGTCTGGTGGCCTGACTGGTGGTACTGGGGAGTGGTGTCGAGAGAGAGAGAAGGGGGGAAGCGAGTTGTGTTGTGGAAGGTGGTGTTACGGGAGGATGGGAAAGCTCACGTCAAACCCGTGGACCTCTTCATTCCCGCGAGGATAGTTGAGACTACTCCAAGTTAGCATCTGCTCCCAACAGCGTACCCGCCGAAGCGGTGGCAGAGGAGGGGAGAGACATACTGAGCACAGCATCAAAAGCATAGTGAGTTAACCTCCCGAACTTCCCCCACAGACCAAAAGTTAGCAGGTTGAGGAACTGACGGGTTGATTAGGACAACAGCAACAGTCAGTGCAGTGCAGGTCTCGTGTGACGGGGGATGGGGGTGGTGTTGGACTCACGACCATGGCTGCGCTGGGGTTTGTGAGGATGCGAAATAAAAAGGTATGTGAACTCGAATCCACTGATGGGGGATATTGAGGCTGATGGGGTTGTGTGGGGTGTAGATGCTTGTTTAGGTGGTGGGTGTTGATGGCTCGGTGCTTGTTGCTATGGGCGACAAATGTGTCAAGTGGGTGACGAGGGGAATGTGATTAAGCGATGGGTGGGTTGGCGCGCCGGAGTCGGTTTTGGTTTGGTTGTTGTGGGCGACCGGAGAATGTCACGTGCACCAAATGACATATCACGTGGAAAATCAAACTCGACAACTTGAGCAAACACGACAAACTCAAAACAAACAAAAACTCGACAAACAGAACAAACACAAAACGGCGCTTAAGGCAACATCCGCCCACCGTACACCAACACTGTACGACTACGGAAGACGTCAGTGGATAAAACGGCCGCACGGCCCGACCCAACGTCCGATTTAGCGGCCAATCAGCTTGACACGTTCGGGCGTTTATGGTGATTTTCGTGTTGGATTTCTGGTCGCCTTCTGGGTTTCTGGGAGCAACGTCAACCTCAACGTCAACCTCAACTTCAACCTCATCATCTTCACTTGTGAGTATTTGCTTCTTCTTTTCCTCTTCTTTATTCCTATATCTTCTTTGTTCCTATATCTTCTTTATTCCTATATCTACCCCTCGATCCAACCTCCCCCCCAAACCCCCCCCCAAATCCCCCCCCTCCAATCTCCAATGCACATCCATTCGGCGCCTTGGCTTGATACATGACAGCACAATTGGGGGGTTGGGGGGGTTGGGGGGGTCGGGGGGGTTGGGGGGGTTGGGCAACCTAGCTTATCGGCGAATCTCAACGCTTCACTCTGCCCCACCACAAACGAGCAGAATCGGAGAGTACAGCGACCACCAAAAACCACACTCATCCATTTAACTCTTGCTCAAGGCTGATATATCTTCTTTTTTGTCCAGCAGTCAATCAAGGTCAAATACATCTCCAACCGCCCGACCTCTCTCTCCTCTCCAACCAAAACCCTCATCAGCTCGAAGACACTCCTCCCACTACCTACCAATCCCTCAAATCCTTCACAATGGCCACGGCTTTGGAGCATCTCTCCAACCACACCAAGATCGCCTGGCTGAGCGGCCTCGACACCGACTTCAAGCCCACCAAGAACTACCGCCGCACCTCCATCATCTGCACCATCGGCCCCAAGACCAACTCCGTCGATGCCATCAACAAGCTCCGCAAGGCCGGCCTCAATGTCGTCCGCATGAACTTCTCCCATGGCTCATACGAGTACCACCAGTCCGTCATCGACAACGCCCGCGAGGCTGAGAAGGTCCAGCCGGGCCGTCCGATTGCCATTGCTCTCGACACCAAGGGACCGGAGATCCGAACAGGAAACACAGTCGGTGATGAGGATCTGCCCATCTCCGCAGGTGATGAGATCAACATCACCACCGACGACAAATATGGCGCTGCCTGTGATGTTAAGAACATGTAAGCTGGCCTCCTTTTTTTACTCCAAACACTCCCAGTACTCCCCACTAACACACCCAGGTACGTCGACTACAAGAACATCACCAAGGTGATCGCGCCCGGCCGTATCATCTACGTCGATGACGGCGTCCTCGCCTTCGACGTCCTCGAGATCATCGACGACAAGACGATCCGCGCGCGCGCCCGCAACAACGGCAAGATCTCCTCCAAGAAGGGCGTCAACCTGCCCAACACCGACGTCGACCTCCCCGCCCTCTCCGAGAAGGACAAGGCCGACCTCCGCTTCGGCGTCAAGAACAATGTCGACATGGTCTTCGCCTCCTTCATCCGCCGCGGCGAGGACATCAGCGCCATCCGCGAGGTCCTCGGCGACGACGGGAAGCACATCCAGATCATCGCCAAGATCGAGAACCGCCAGGGCCTCAACAACTTCGCCGAGATCCTCAAGGAGACCGACGGCGTCATGGTCGCCCGTGGTGACCTCGGAATCGAGATCCCCGCCGCCGAGGTCTTTGCCGCACAGAAGAAGATGATCGCCATGTGCAACCTGGCCGGCAAGCCCGTCATCTGCGCAACCCAGATGCTCGAGTCCATGATCTACAACCCCCGCCCAACCCGCGCCGAGATCTCCGACGTCGGCAACGCCGTCACCGACGGCGCCGACTGCGTCATGCTCTCCGGCGAGACGGCAAAGGGCTCCTACCCCGTCGCCGCCGTCACGGAGATGCACGAGACGTGCCTCAAGGCCGAGAACACAATCGCCTACATCGCCCACTTCGAGGAGATGTGCAACCTCGCCGTGCGCCCGACCGCCATCGTCGAGTCCGTCGCCATGGCCGCCGTCCGCACCTCCCTCGACATCAACGCCGGCGCCATCCTCGTCCTCTCCACCTCGGGTGACTCCGCGAGGTATCTGTCCAAGTACCGCCCCGTCTGCCCCATCTTCATGGTCACCCGCAACGCGTCAGCCAGCCGCTTCGGACATCTGTACCGTGGTGTTTACCCCTTCCTCTTTAACGAGGAGAAGCCCGATTTCTCAAAGGTCAACTGGCAGGAGGACGTCGATCGCCGCATCAAGTGGGGTATCGCCGAGGCCTTCAAGCTCGGCGTCCTCACCGAGGGCGAGAGCGTCGTCGTCGTTCAGGGATGGAAGGGCGGTATGGGTCACACTAACACGTAAGCTCCCTCATTTCATATTTTTCCCTCCCCTTACCTGCAATTAACCCCCGCCAAAACCCGGATCTGTCTCTAAAACTGCGTCCCGTCACAATAGCATCAGAGCTCTCACCGTCGACGATGAAGTCGTCAAGCTTGCTAAGCTCCCCAAGCGCGTGCGCAGGGTGTCGGAGGCGCAGCCGCTTGGGGGGCAGGGAGGTCCGCCCGCTAGCGGTGCCAGGGTGTCCGTTGCGTCGTCGCCGAAACAGAGGAGGACGTAGAGCTGTCCATGGTCCTTGGGTCACACATCATGTCAATCAGTTGGCCGATTGGATACGATTTGAGCGACTCCGGACGGATTTTTGACGTTTTTTTTTGGACCACGTACCGACAGAGACACCGACAAAAGCACACATTTTTTAGAATTTTACCTTTATTTTATTGTTTATTTTTATTTTGGAAACAGTCACTAATTACCTTTCGAATACAGCCTCCGCGTCATCCAGGCGAGTGAGAGCCTCGGTCTTGCAACGGTCTAGATTACGCCGCGCGCGCGTTTGATGAGTTTTTTTAAAAAAAAAAAGTGAGAAAATGATATGAGATCGGATGGGATATAAAATGAATGACCTCGACGTGGGTACGCCGCGGATGGATGGCGGGGGCTGCTAGGGTCGCCCGAGGGTTTATGGATGATGGGATAGATAGATGATGGACGCAGGCAGGGTAGATTAGATTGGGTGAGCGGGTGCATAGGGTAGCGTGGTGGATAATAGACTTCTTCTTTACTGCAACTTCATCCTCACAATACCATGTCTGACTGTTCGGAGTGGGAGGGGGAGGTGAGAAACCTTCTACGCAACGCCAATATCAGCATCGCAATCCACACCGCCCCGAACCAGATCTACCACACCCTCCCTCACTCCCCCACAAATCCGCCTCCATTCCCCCGCCGCGGAAAAGTGCGTAGCAAGCAGCTCTTCGAAAAGCTTGTACCGTCTTAGCGTGTAATCGCGGCAACGTCGGCGTCGTAACGAGGTATGGTATGCAGAATAGTCACCGCTTGTCAGGGATGGAAGCCCAACGGTCTGAATCCTTTGACACTAAGTAAGACCAGCTTTTGGATAGCGCCATTGACTAGAGACGACGTGGGATGGATTATGGGGTGGGATCGGGGTATAAATATGCTGCTGGGGACGTCGATGGGGGTGGAGAAGGAATATTGGGTTGTTCGATTTGGTAATTTGGAGTTGTTATAAATTTTTGAGACCCGACGAGGAGTCATTCACGATGAGAACAATAATATCCACCTTGCTAGTCGCCGCACTGGGGACAGTCGTCTCTAGTACCAACACCTGCGTAATAAATATTTCCCTCAAATCAAGAGCTTCAAACTAACACCATCGCAGTGCACCCTCCTCCACCAGTCTCTGGGTGAGAAAATCACTTTCCCCAACTCCACGCCCTAACACCACAACCTCCTACTGGTCCCTTTCCGAATCCTCCCTCGCCCCAGCTTGCATCCTTCTCCCCACCACACATCTCCACCGCTCTCCCCTCATCTCCACCGTTCTCCCCCTCATCTCCTCAGTGCCGTCATGTAATTTCGCCATCAAAGGGCGGGGTCACAATCCCGCTGCGGGATTCGCTAATATCGAAGGGGGATGACGATCGACATGACGGCCTTGTCGGGTTTTGACGTTGATGAAGACCACTCCGTGGCTAGGGTAGGAGCAGGAGCGACGTGGTTGAGTGCTTATCAGTTTCTTAACCCGCTGAATGTTTCTGTGGCTGGTGGGCGGAACGGGGCTGTTGGTGTAGGCGGCTTGTTGCTGGGGGGGGGGGATCGCGCATTTCTCCCCCAGGGTGGGGTGGGCGTGTGATAACGTCGTAAATTTCGAGGTTCGCCATCCTATACTTCTCAAGCAAGTCCGGGCTTTAATAACCATCAAACCCCCAGGTCGTCCTAGCAAACGGCACCCTCCAAAACGCCAACCACACCTCCCACCCCTCCCTCTTCCGCACCCTCAAAGGCGGCTCAAAGGTGGCACCAACAACTTCGGCCTCGTAACGCGCCCCCAGGGCGGCATCGCTTCCTTACGATCTTCAACGATATTTTGCAGCGCCGCGCGGTGTTAGCGGCGTTCACTGATATAACTTCCTCGCCCGAGTTTGATGTCTACACTTCGCTCGTGACTTCTTTGGTGTATACTTCGAGCACGAGGGGGTGGAGGGTTATTAATATAGTAGCCTACACCGCGCCCGTCGCGCAGCGGGGGTTTTTTAGGGAGTTGTTGGGTATTCCTAGTACCACTAACAACACATCCCTAGCCATAACATCATTAGCGGAGCTCGCTGATAGCCGGAGACTGCGCCCTCGTGAGAGACTCCGGGTTCAAATTTCTGCTTTGAGGACTCCAGACTGACGAGTGGACAGAAACCAAATCATGGCCATCGCAATATTCAAGCCCTCCCTCCCCCGACCAGACAATATATGTCCACGTCGCGATGGTTGGGGTTACCTCTGGCAAGTCCCAGAACGGCATTACAAAATATCGCAGATGTAAATACCAGTAGACAGAACAGCAGAGACCTAGAACAACAGATTCCTTCCCCGCGTTTTCAATAGTCTATCGTGCCTTCCTTATAGAAAAGGTTGACACTTCATCGTTCCTTCCTTATGAAGAAGGGTGGCTGCTGCGGTCTCCCCAAGAAACGGGGAATATCCCCATTATTATAACTTAGCTGTCGCTCTCTATTCAGTCGTTTCTGCTTATTCCTGTTATCACTTCCCTGTTTCCATACTTTTGATATTCATTCGCAATGCATTCATTACTACCCTCTGTTTATCTTCTCCTCACAGCAGCTGCTGTTGCCACATGCCGACAATGGGAGGACTGCAATGCCCGCATGGACGGCCACTTACCATACTATACTCCTCTTACATTTTCCGGCCGAGTCCGCCGATACTATGTGGCCGCCGAAGTTGAACCCTGGAATTACCTCCGACAGGTATGGCGCTGGATGTACTTCCCCACAGCTCCAGTTCTGAAAAACGTTTTTGATATATAGGGTGGGATAACTGGCTCGGTGACCAATGAATGAGTCCTTCCGTGCCCAGACATACGGATATATCGCCTCAGATACGAGCATCGGGACTAAGTACGACAAGGGGCAATATAAGGGATACACAGATGCCTCGTTCAGGGAGCGGACCAAGCAACAGGAATGGCTTGGTCTTCAGGGACCTATCCTCTGAGGTAGGTGTTCTCAAGTGGGAGGTGTTGTGTTGCCTCGGTGGACGTGGAGATGTGCTGACACGCTGAAGATCATGTTTGTAAACAAGATGGACCATTTCTTCTCGAGCATGCATTCGATGGGGTTGTACTACACTAAGGAGTCGGAGGGCAGCGTTTATTATAATGGGACTGAAAGTGTCACTATTGGGAATGCAGTCCCCCTGGGGAATGCTTCGTTCACAAATGGTAGCTCGACCACCATTTCCAATAATTTCAGATGATAGAAGGTGAAGTATTGAGACTCATCGGGCTTGTCCCATCAGGCTCAGCTCCCAACCCCGGCCACGACAGCCGTATCTTCTCCTATCACCCCTACGTCAGCATGTATCAATACCAAGATGCTGGATCCTACGGCCCGGGTGATCATCTACAACCCGGGGCGGATGGAGGCCGTGATGAAAGGGAACCGCGAATTCCTGCTCATCTACTCGGATAACCAGGAGTCGAATCCTTCCTGGCTCTGCACAACGTCCAGAAGTACCTTGCTGGCATGGCATCCAAGGTTGCCAATTTGTCGTTGAATATCCGCAGGTGACCCAGGGGATTGGAATCATATTTGGTAGCCACAGTTCATCAACACGCCCAAGACAAATGTTACTACCACCATGGCGCCGAATTTCTTTCTGGTAACCCCTGCCCCCCTTTTGCACTCCAACAAGCCAAACTAACACCCCCCCAGATCAGCGGCTACACCTACGCTAACAACCCCCCCGTCCCCATGTGCGTCAACGACCCGGTCATCTGGTACCTCTACGACATGGGATTCGACACGCACGTCTTCCACATGCACGGCGAGAACACGGTCGACGCCGTGACCGGGGCCACGTCCGCCACGGTGGTGCTCAACCCGGGCCAGATGACGTTTGTGCTGATGACGGCGTCGAATCCGGGGTGGTGGCAGCTCCTCTGCCATTTTACGACGCATCTGAGTAAGTGGATGGAGGCGAATTATATTGTGTATGGGGGTCCGTATGGGGGGCCGTATGGGGGGTGTTCTTTGAGGCCGTTGGAGAGGGTAGTTGGTTGGTTGGGCGTTAAAAGTGTGGCTTAGGTCGTTAACTTGTTGTTTGAGGATTGGTAGGTGAGCTGATGTATTGGAGTTATGGTGTTTGGAATCCGCTGTCCGTTAACATGCCTAATACTAATGTTTTCATAGGAGCGCAAGACTCCAACCAAACCGCTTTGTCTCATATATATTCAACCCCATTCATCTCAGGTATGTAACCCCTATACTACCGCAGCTTAACCCCCCCAGGAACCTGTTTCTGGAATACCCCCTTCGGACCATACTTCCTACTCACCCCCCTCATAAACCTTAGATTCTCCTCCCCATACGACTCTAGCGGATTCTGATACGCTGCTGCGTAATTGAGGTACTGGAATTTCAGCAATAACCCCTTTGCCTCACATGACTCTAGTAGTGACATAACATGGCGCGTAGCTTCTTGAACTGCCCTCGTTGAAGCGGTATCTGCCCAGGAGGAGAACTGTGAGAGTGGACTGTTAGCATGCGTCTATACGGGATTGGTGGTTTGTAGACTTACTGAATCCTTTATCTCCCGGCCCAAGACCAAGAACGTCCCTCTTGTTGCTCCTGGACGAGGGAACCATGGCAGCGGCGGGGGGTTCGAGAAGCCATGTTATCCCCCCCGTGAGGTTGAAGGAGGTGAAGTACTCATTCGCTACTCACGCAACACTAGTACACGATCTATCCACCCCCGGCCTTCCCGCCTTCCTTCCCACCTTCCTCCCCACCCCCCTCCCAAACACCGCCCTAGCCCTCAACTCCGCCACCGCCCGATCCAGCTCCAATTCAACACTACAATGATTCCTCACCCTCCCCAGCAGCGGCCACGTGGCCCTCTCCCCTGCCTCACACGCCCTCACCATAAACCCCGGCGACGGATTCTTCAGTATCGCCACAAAATCCTGATACTCCACCCTCGGCAGGATGGTGATATCGCCCGAGTACTTCTGAGACAGCATGTTGCGCGCCTTATTGCAGATATTCGGCAGCACGCCCAGCTGAGCCAGGACGTGGAGGCGGTGGAGGGCCTCTGACTTGGCGAGGAGAGTGAGCGGGGCGAGGAGAGGGGCGAAGAGAGGGGCGAGGTGGGAGTTGAGCTTGAAGGCGGAGGGGTGGGAGAGGCTGGGGGCGGAGGAGGAGAGGAAGGGGACGATGTGGGGGTTGACCTGCGAGACGATGAAGTGGTTTACGTTGAACATCTCCGCGAGGCTGGTCATGGGGAGGTCATTGTCGACGCTGCCGTCGATCCAGCGGAGTGGGGTTGGGTTCCAGGGGTAGTGCGCGCCGGTGACGGGGTTCTTGGCGAGGATGTGCGCGGAGGAGAAGACGAAGGGGGCGGAGCAGGAGGCGGCGACGGCGGACCAGATGAGGACGTTAGGGCTGGTGATGTAGTTGAGGAGGCGGGGGAGCTCGTAGATGGAGGACGGCGAGACGCAGATGTTGAGGATGCGGCGCGTGCGGTTGTAGGCTTCTTGGAAGGTCATGTCGCCGAGGAGCTCTTGCATCACCTGGGTCAGGTGCTTGATGTCTATCCAAGCTCCGTCGGTGAGGAGTCGCGCGATATGTTCCAAGGCGCCTTCTTCGCGATCTTGCTCTTCGAATACGGCGAGGTTCCCATGAGGAAATCCGCGCAGTACTTCGGGAATCTCTTCGTCGGTGCGTGTGCACAGCACCGAGCAGACGATTGAGCCTGCTGACGCCCCAGAGATGATGCGCGGAAGCAGCTTCTCCTCAAACAGCGCTTTGAGAACGCCAATATGGTACATCCCGAGTGTCGCCCCGCCACTGAGAAGCAGCGCACTCCTCCCAAACGCCTGCCGCGCGAGCACAACCTGCTCCATTAGGTCTTTCGTATCCAGCCCCGCCGGCAACGCCTTGTCCTCCGTCCTAGCCAGCTTCTGTATCGTCTCGATCGTCGCATCAATATAGCTCTCGATCAGATCCTTCGTTCCCACATGCGAATGCTGGTATAACTCCACATTTCCCATCCCCCCCAACCCGCGCGACAGCGACGTCCGCACAAGATACAACATGCGCCTCACATCCCCACCCGCCCGTGCCTCATTCAATAAATCCAACCGCGCCTGGATCAGCGGGGCGTCAAACTCCGAAGACTCGTTATCCGTCTTCCACGCCTCATTGCCTTCGAGTATATCCAGCTCCCGCGCCGCAGCCCTCCATTCCTCGACCCGTGTGGCGTCGCGCAGTCGCTGAGTTACGAGGTGGATATTTTCGACTCTGTGTTGGGCGGCCAGCCGCTGGTTGGAGGTGAGGCCATCGCACAGGTGGAGGACGGTCGAGGTGAGGTAGGTTTTGGAGGTTTTGGCGAGCTGGGCGAGCTGGGCGAGACTCCGCCGGGAGCGAGAGGTGTTGGCGGTCTGGGGTGCGGCAGCGACGGAGTCAACCCAGGTTGCTGCCGAAGCGTGGGGTGTAGGAGTGTCGAGGAGAGGGAACATAATGCCCCATGGGCGAGAGTTCGGCTGTGGTCGTGTCTATGTCTGAAAGAGTGTCGGTATATTCGTCGTCGGCCTATAAATTCATCTTCGTGGCTTGTGCCTTGGGTTTCCCGTCTTGCCTAGGGACAAGAGCTGCCAACATAAGAAGAGAACTAGCACTCTAGATGAAATAAGAAGGATATGGTGGTAAATACACGACGATGTATGTAGTTACCATGACCTACTGAGAGAGTAGAGGCTTCCTCGGCGTGCTGCCATCATCTTACAGTCATCATCGTTGGCGTTCCCGTTGGTGCTATACTTGGCTTTACCGATAATCCGTACAGAGATCACGTGAGATCACGTGACTATTACAACACATCCCAACGTTTCTTCTTTCACATGGCACACGCGCCTTCCGTGAGACCTCAAGTGTCTCAACACACTCTAGTCCCACCAAAGGCTGACTGACGTACCTGCTCGAACTTGGTGATGGAGGACATATATTTTATGGCCATTCCTCCTATAACATTTCGACTCGATAAATCTCAGCCGGAAACCTCATGGCGACGACGAAATCACGATACTAACCGCTTGATCCTGAGACCTTGAAAAGAAGGACTCTCGCAAGATCCTACAACCCACTGCACCAGCAGTCATGATAAACGACACCCGCCTCGAATACATCTTCATCCGCACCTGCATCGTCTTTCTGCACTATCTCACGCCAGTCAGCATCATCTATACGGTATTCCTCATCGCCAGTTATATCTTTGGAATTCCCCGCCCTCACATCCCACTTGCGATAAACGTTATCGCCGTCGCCGAGTCGCTATTCTACCTCGTCGTCTTCCTCCCATACAGCGCATATCTCCAGCGTGCGGCCGTTCACCCGCCCATCCCCTCTCGGACAGAACGAAAGGCGCTGTTCGAAAAGTGTTACAAGTTCATCCCAGATCCAGACACCTACCTTGATCGGTGGTTCCTGGGTGCCCCGCAAGAGGAGATAAAGCACGAAAATGTGAAAGAGTTTATACAATGGGCGTTCTTCAACCGCGGTGGGGAAGCTGGAGATGATGAGGAGGAGTTGGACGAGTATGTGGCTGCATACGAGACCTTGGTGGGGAGGAAGTTCGAGCCAGGGAGGGGCAAGGCCGAGAGTCTTCGCCTGACACTCGATCCAATAGACATGCTACATCGTAGTTTGGCTTGGTATATGGTATGTATAAGGCGCTTTGCCACTGTTTCCATGATCACGAAGCTAATTTGTCCCAGTGCGTGGGCTTTGTCGACTTGCTCACCTACATCAACCTCCTCCGCGCCGGGTTCCATTTCCACCGCACCTGCCTCTCCCGCTTCTTCACAGTGTTCCCCTTCCGCCCACAGGCCGTCCTCACTACCAAGCGGTCACCCGCGAAATACACAACCTACTGGCACCGTCCCCACACGTCGACCACGCACCTCCCAGTTCTCTTCATCCACGGTATCGGCATCGGACTCTACCCCTACGTCCCCTTCCTCTCCGACATAAACTCAGCTAAAGACCTTCCCTCCGGAGATGGTTCGGGCGGCCAAATCGGCCTAATTGCCCTCGAAATACACCCCGTCTCCTTCCGTCTGACGCACGCCCCCCTTTTGCCTGCCGTGCTATGCGCTGAGATCGCCTCAATCCTCAACCAGCACGGCTACTCCCGGGTTGTGCTTGCCACGCATAGCTACGGCTCTGTGATTGCGACCCATCTCCTCGCGCACGCCGAAACGGCGCCAATGATCGCGGATATCGTGCTCATCGACCCGGTGACCATCTTGCTGCACCTGCCTGACGTAGCATATAACTTCACACGGCGTCAGCCGCAGTCGGCGAGCCAGCACCAGCTGTGGTACTTTGCGAGCATGGATATGGGGGTTGCGCATAGTTTGGCGCGGCACTTCTTCTGGTCGGAGAATGTGCTGTGGAAGGAGGCTGTAGAGGGCCGCGATGTTACGGTCAGTTTGGCAGGGAGAGACTTGATTGTTAACACCGAGTCTGTGGGCCGATATTTGGCAGAGGGAACGGAAGATGTAGATAATGAGAGAGCTGTGGAGATAATGCCCGATGTGAGCGAGGAGGGGGGCTTGCTGGTACAGGAAGGGTGGAAACATAGGCCTTGGCGAGGGAAGGGAATTGATATCCTCTGGTTCGACAATTTAGACCACGCGCAAGTATTTGATACGCCTGCGACGAGACGACCTGTCTTGGAGGCTATTCGAGCATACTCCGCGAATGGCGATAATGCTCTCGGAACAGCCACAGCTGTGGACGAGGGTGAGTAGACTTTGATTAGACGTCTGCGTGGACATCACTAGTTAGACGTATGTAAGGGTAGACTGTTAAGCAAGAATGCAATGCTCGAAATATGATATAGTTCGTGGTATGAGTTTATGATGCAAGCTCGATTAATAATACACATAGACCTGTGACCCCTTTCTTTCGATGCTATCACGTCTCCGCCCCCGAACTTTCTTGTTTGGCTTACTTTGAGCTCCATTTGCGCGAGCGACGTCAATATCCGATGGAGTTCCATCATCGTCAGTTAGCGCTTCTTTATCACTTGGATCTACATCGTATTCACTAGACTCATTCGTATTATCATCGAAGGGAGTCCCCTGAATCTGAAGATAATCTTTTCGTAGTGTGAGTTTAGAGTTTTTGTGAACACGACCAATGAAGGCCACCTTCACATTGTGCTCTACCGTAATCGTCGGAACCGACCTTGTGCTCAAGGTCGGGGTAATCGTCGGTGGTCGGCGAAAGCGAAGTGCATCCGGAAAGCAAAATGTCATAGCCAAGTCAGAGATTTACACCCAAATATACTCTCAACTATGCACCTGCGATAATTTTGCTCTGTATAATGGACCAAGCCCTTGAATTCCTCCGCAAGAACCCTTCCGAAAAGCAATCACCGCCGCTCGAATTTATAACGTTAATACTTAGACGCTTAATTCCTACATTCGACGAGCGAAGTTGAAAGCCGCCGAAGCCCCATATTTCTAAACGCGGAGGACAAAATAAGATACTCTCGGAGGTACAAATTAAGGCGATATACAAATATGTCGAAGATCCGTATCATGCAGGTTACGGGGCATCAAGAGCAATGGTTTTTGCAGCAATTGGCCAATTGCGGGCGGCAGAAATACCACCGAAACCAGCGCCTTCATGGCGCTGGTTTCAGGGCTTTATAAAAAGCCATTCTAACCTTTTTCAAGTCGTTAAAACGAAAGCGATTGCTCAAATTCGAGTTACAACTCATGATATTTCGGCGGTAGAGGACTGGTTTTCAGTATATTTGTCATGGTGTATCCAACATGATATCCAGCCGCAAAACGTCTATAACTTTGACGAAACTGGCTTTCGAGTTGGAGTAGCACCAGGGGAGGAGGTAATACTTCCTATATATATTACAGAGGTATGTACAATTAGTTATCGTCATTGAAATATAATTGAACTGACCCTACTAAGATGTATGTTCCAATGGCCGAAAATCGCAGGTCTATTACTATAATCGAGTCAATCTGTGCAATTGGACAAGTGATTCCACCAGTGATTATTATACAAGGACGACAACATATGGAGTCCTGGTATCATGAAAAGCTAAGCGGCGACGAGCTTATATTGCTCTCTGATTCTGGATATACAAATGGCGAGCTGGCAATGCTTTATTTAGAGCATTTCATTAAACATTCTGATGCTGGGCCTAATAAACCATTGAAAGTCCTTCTTATGGATAGCCATATCAGTCATACAATACCCGAGTTCATCATACGAGCAACAGCGATGAATATTCATCCATATCCGCTCCCGTCACATCTTACACATATTATGCAGCCGCTTGATGTTGGTGTTTTTCAGCCTTACAAACACTGGCATAAGAAGGCAATTCAATATGCAATGAGAAATCTTGATATTGATTACAATATTGCTTCATTTTTTTGAGACTTAGGCAAAATCCGCCCGGAAACATTCAAGAAAGGCACAATTATAGGAGCATTTCGTGAAGCTGGAATTTGGCCAATAAACCCTAAAGAAGCCTTGAAAAAAATGAAGGTATATACACTGTCTGAAAAGGCTCTAGACCTACCACAAATTCCACAGACTCCGACAAAATTTGTACATTCAGAGCTCAAATTACAGCATTGGCAGGCAAAGATACCATACCTTTTGTCAAGTCCATCGGCACAAGAATGGGATTCTTGGGCGTGCGGTACTGAAAATGTCCTTGCTCAAGGAGAGTTAGCTGTTCTACAGTATGATTTACTATCTACAAAGGTTGTGAACCAGCAAAAGGCAAAGGTCAAAAGCTGCAATGTTGTTCAAGCAACGTGTGGTCCATTAACAGCTAAGATGCTTGGAAAAAAATAGCTGACAAGGCTAAAAAGGAGAAGGAAACTCAAGAGCGGAAGTCAAAATTCAGAGCATGAATATGTCATACTGACATTCGTTGCACTCAGTTTGCTATCAAAACTCAAGAGCAAAATTAGAAATCTCCTCCTCAAACCTACAAGTCTGTAAGGATGCCTCCGTACCTAGATACTCGAAGAACCTGTCTCAGAACTGTTATGGTCACTACAAGCATGGAATCTGACTCGGTGGGGTTTCGAACCAGTAGAGGAGCATATAGCGAGTTACACTATAGTGGGGGACGGTAAGTGTATAGGGTTCAGGGCTGATGCAGACCTGTTGCGGTGGAAGGTTCAGGGCTAGGGTTGGGATAACCGAGTCGGGCCCGTTTCGGGTACTTAAGGAAACAGACTCAACGGGGTTCCCCCTTCATCTTTTTTGTATCCTTCGTAGTAGACCTATAGGATAGCATCCGTTCAGCCTCTGACTCGCACTCTCATATGCTATTACTGTGAGCTGGGTGCCCTGTGTCCTTACAAAGTCACTATACATATTTTGGCTTGTCACACCAACAACAAGAGCAATACTACTCAACAATTGATACAACCCTCTATGATTCATTACACGTCATTGCTCCTTAGTTACTGGGCTGATATGACCACATAGCATATCTCTACAACCCTCTATGATTCATTACATGACATCACTCCTTAGTTACTGGGCTAATACTACACATGACATATCTCTATCAACTAGAGGCCTAGGAACATGAACGATAGCTCCAAAAGCTTCTACAACCGTCTATGATTCATTACACGTCATCGCTCCTTAGTTACCCACAAGATTGGTTAAGTTATGACATAATTTGTCTATAGGGGTACTCTGACCTTGGACCTCCTTTCACTTTCTATAGGCTAGGAACTGTAAGGATGCCAAAGCCCTCAGTGATGGAAAGCATCGGAGTCGGGCAGGTTACGGTCACGTGGGGAGCATTAGGGTAGGTTATCCGAGTCGGACCCGTTTCGGGTACTTAAGGAAATTGACTCAACGGGGGTTCCTCTCTTCATCTTTTTTGTATCCTTTGTAGTAGACCTATAGGATAGCATCCGTTTAGCCTCCGACTCGCACTCTCATATGCTATTACTGTGAGCTGGGTGCCCTGTGTCCTTACAGGAACCTAGGAGATGGTTCTATGGGATTCTCTTACGTTGACTACAGTTACCAAGCCTGGTTAGTCATGGAAAGTCTTGAAAAATGAGAGAACTACACTCCTTTACATAAATAGGTTGGAAAATGAGAGAACTACACTCCTTTACATAAATAGGATTGCCCTTTCCTTAAGAAAGGGCAAGCAGACAATACAGTAAATCGACTATCACATACTTCCACGTCTTTTCCAAGCTTCCAAGCATTGATCTTGTTACTCCTTGTTTCTGAAAAGTCAGTGAGGTGCTAACCTCTGACTTATCCCTGAGTTCTCATACTCAACATTTGTTACAACTTGTCTAAACCACTCCACTACATCATACACCTGATTGCTGCGTTGTGGAATAGTCTAAGCTACGACCCTTTAGCTCTTTTTCCTAAGACAGTGTGTTGTCTTAAGTAAAATCATCCCTTCCTTGGGTGGCTAGATTCTCACATCTAGTGTACCCACTATTACATTTATCCTGTGTGATAAAATGAGTAAAAAAAAAAAAAAAAAAAACAACAGAAATGGGGATTTAATTAAAGAAAAATTCAAATACCAATATATCCTGGTCGTCTTGCTCGTCGTTAACAACCTTGTAGCAGGAGGTTGATTCTTCACTTTTGGACACTTTACCAACTGGCCTTTTCTCCTGTCGTCCATCTCCCTTGTCATAATCTTCCCCATCAGAGTTGTCCTCAGAGTCTTCGTCAGAGTCATCTTCATCTGAGTCTTCCTCGGGTTCTTCCCCAGAGTCCTCCTCTGAATTCTCTCCATTGGCTTCCTCAGAGCCATCACCAGTAGATTCCCCTGTGCCTTCCTCAGACTCGTCACTATCGGATTCCTGAAATATGGGATACGAAGAACAAGGCGCAACCTACATTGGTCTACTCACTTGGGCTGGATAGAGCGGGTCCTTGTAAATAGAACGCCGATGTGGACATTGCTCGGGCGGCAGGTAAGGTGAGATTCATTCCTTCGATGGGATGTGATCCGAGGTGGGCCTAGCCAATCAAAGCTGGACGCTTGCAAACATGCATTGGTAAATTGCAAGGCGGTCCGGAGAGGCACACACAATAGCCCTTCCCGGCAGCACGGGATGAGGGATTCGGCAGCTATGCAGACGCTGCAGGAGCTGCCCCTGGAACGGCTGGTGCCGAGCTGTCATGTTGGACGAACAGGGTACCGACGGCAAACAAACCAAACAAACAAATCTAGATCCTTGGGTAGATCCCGCGCTTTCCGTCTGTGGAACACTACTCCCTGGAACAGGACTCTGACGGCTCATAGTTGGCTCGTCTCTGACGGGGCGGGACGGTGGTCCCTGATGATCTCTTTGGTGTCCCTACCCCTCGTTAGGTATACCGGGAACGTACTCGCACATAGGGAGAGTGTGAATGAGGCTGTGCCGTCCAATAATGGCTACACGAATGCGACTGTGGAGGTTCTTGGCGCACTGATGGACTGCACTGCTACATATGAAATGGAGTATGTGGAGATAATGTGATAATGATATACGGCGACAGCCCTACTCTGGTTCTATTTTGAGGCGTCCCAATTTACCTACTGTGAGTCCCCTGAGCCCGTGCCCCATGCCAGGGTCCGCGGAATCCCCATCCGTGCTATGCACAACCCCACCTCTCAACAAAGCTTGCCACACACTTCACGTATCGATCTATATCATCCTTAGTATGCACAATTGTGAGGGCCACAAACCCCCTCCGGGTAACGTATATGTGATTCTTGATCATGTGGAAGTAGAACAAGTCTCTCAGATCCACCAACTCGTCGTTTGCGCCGAAATGAAGGGCGTTGATGGAGCCAACGCCCGAGATCCATATCCGACCCCTTGGCACCGTGGCAACATCACGCATGTCCGCTTCCGTCGCCGCGCAAACGAGCCCCTTACCAACAAGGATCGACAGCACAGCCTGGCGGAGATAATCTCCTACCTCGTTTAGTTGGGTCAGAACAGCCTCCGTCAATACCTTGGTCCCCGCAATTCCTGCATGCATTGTGATATTGTTGTTGAACGTGCCGCTGTGCATTGACGACATTGGCTTCTGCGTTCCATCGGCCGTCGTCGCCACGCCACCGCTCTTCGGGTTGAAGAGCTCCATAATCTCGCGGCGACCGCCAAAGATCCCGAAGCTCATTCCGCCACCAAGGTACTTGCCCATGGTCATGAGGTCGGGTCTGATGCCATATTTCCCGGCCAGCCCCCCTGCATGGTGTAGGCGGCTTGTCATCACCTCGTCAAAAATAAGCAGTGCCTTTAGCTCGGTTGCCCGGGCGCGTAGGTGCTCCAGGAATTTAATTGACGCAGGCAGGCATCCGCCTGCCCCTTGCATGGGCTCGACCAAGATCGCTGCTAGGGAGTCTGCTGGGACCCGGGATAACTCCTCATCGACAGACTCGATGGAGTTATAATCTGCCACCACGTACTCTCCTGCGAAGATAAGGATCCTGTTCCTCCCGGTCCAGACCCGGGCCGTTGTCGTTGCGATGATGTTTGCCTCCGTACCCGAGTTTGTGAACCTGACCATCTCGAGGCCGGCACCCGCCTGGAACCTCTTCTTGATCCTCGCCGCTAGCTCCCCCTCGAGCGCACTTGTTGCGCCAAAATTGACGCCATTCAGCAGGCCCCCCTCGAGAGCCTCGAGGATATCCGGGTGTGAGTGGCCGTAGATGCCGGCGGTGTATTCACCAACCATGTCGAGGTAGACATCTCCATCGGTGGAGCGGATGGAGCAACCACTGGAAATCGTGATTGCCACAGGGAATGGCGGAGAGAAGAGGGTACTGCGAGTATTCCCGGCCGGTAAATGATCTGAGGCTCTGTTGAATACCCTCCGTGAAGCAGGGTTCGCCGCTACGAAGCTGGCTACAGCATCTTGCAGAGCAGCGTGGACATCGGAATCTGCACTCGCCATGCTTGCTCACAATAAATGATGAGTCTATTATCAACAAACGGCCAACCTGAGACTGGTACACAAACAGTCCGACGGATGTCCGAGGCAAGACACAAACAATCCGAGCCAAGCAATCTGCAAGGCAAGGCAGACTACAAACAATCCGAGCCAAGCAATCTGCAAGGCAAGGCAGACAATCCGAGCCAAGCAATCTGCAAGGCAAGGCAGACTACAAACAATGCCGGTGACAATAATGATGAATTTTGCCAAGGTATAACTAATATCTGCCAAGATCAGTAATGATATTGCAGTAAGCCAAATGAAAAAATATCAAAAGAACCAATCCAATATTGGCAAGAAAGATCAAGAATGATATTGCAGTAAGACAGGAGATAACGCACCCTCATGGGGATCGAAGTGATATTTATTGGCGTTGGTGTTGATGGCGGGGTTACTGGCACACTGCTGTGCCAGATCCCACATTCCCGTGACACGCTACATGTACAAATCAATACGGGGCAGGTGATAAGCTGTTTTGAATGCGTCTCTGTTGAGTAATAAATGTATGTATTCCTGACTATGTAACCTATACTTGGCTTTACCGATAATCCGTATGGAGATCACGTGAGATCATGTGACTATTACAACAGTCTCTGTTAGCACGTGGCATCAATTTGCTTTGGAGTAAAGCACGTGATGTTACACTTCATTTCATGGAACCTAATTCACGTGACACCGTCCCGACCGAGGGATCAGAGAGATAAGAGAGGCGGGAGACTCTCTTTATCTCTCTGATCCCTCGGGGCCAGCTTGCCGCCGCATCCGTCTGTGTTTTGTTCTGTTCGGTACGGAGTACAAATGGAGGTGGCGGAAATGCCTCAATGGCGGCGATGACATCATGGGGTCCCCATATTTCGCGGAAGAAACTGCGAGTCAGGGTGTGGGATGGGGAGGGATGCCCGTATCGAGATTTCTTGCGCCGTACGCCCCCCGGATGCAGACACGGGCAGAGCACACGACCACCTGTCCACCTGCCATCTCCACGTCGCGCCCGCGACACCGTGTGTCGAGGTGCATGATGCAGGACGTCAATTGATCCGGCAGGCCAATTGATCCGACAGTACAGTGAGTACAGCATCTGGACTCCAGCAATCCCGTGCAGAAGCACATGGCGCGTCTCTGAGTGTCTCATCTAGCTCACCCCCTCGGGCAGTGTGCTGGAAACAGAGCAGAGCAGCAGGGCGCGAGGCCATGGACAAATAGCAAATGCAGCGCACTGCAAATGCGCGATTTAACCCGCGTCGCCGTACCCTGAAAATCCCTCGCGCCGGTCGCCGACGCAGCCGCGCGAGTCCGTAACGGGGATGGTGGCATCTGATGGGACGTAGCAGGACAAAGGCAAAGCAGTCGTCAGCCGGATGTCGGCTTGTTGGGGGCGCTCTTGGTGGTACAGCCTCGGTGGGATGGGCGGCAGTGGAGGGCGGATTTGATGACTGTGTGATGTGAGGGTGGGTGAGTAGGTGTGGTAGTCTCGGCGGAGTGGGGGAGGGGAGGGGGAGGGGACGCCGAGGAGGACAGTGGCACGTGTGGCCACCGCACAGACGAATCCGCCGAGTACGAAGTAGGAAGTAAGAGGTACGAGGTACGAGGTAAGAAGTAAGAAGTAAGAAGTAAGAAGTAAGAAGTACCCCCAAAAGTACCGAGTACTCGCAATCGGCGCTAGTTACGTGCCTCAAACCCGGCCCGTCTTGCGCGTAGTCCGGGTGGGGAATCGAGTCGTGTGCCTTATCTTGTTATCTTGGGGTCTTGGGGCTGTGGCTGCTTGGGGTCATGGCCGTCCACTTGGCTGGTTGGGGTCTTGGCCCCGTGCCTGCTTGGCCCCTTCTCTCTGGTTGGGGTCTTGGCCCCGTGCCTGCTTGGCCACTTGGCTGCTTCGGGTCCTGACCGTGGCTGCTGCTTGGCCCCTTCTCTGCTGGGGGTCTTGGCCCGTGCCTGCTTGGCGACTTGGCTGCTTCGGGTCTTGGCTCCTTGGCTGCTGCTTGGCCCCCTTCTCTGCTTGGGGTCTTGGCCCGTGCCGGCTTGGCTGGGCCCTCAAATCCTCCCGAGATGTATCCGGATCGGGTATCCGGGTACTTGGTACGTACTGCAAACTGCAAACTACGACATGTGCCCCGCATTACTGGTGACATTTGCCCTTCTCTTTTTTCGCGCCCTCTTCTTCTTCTTCTTCTTCTTCTTCTTCTTCTTCTTCTTCGTTTATCCTCCTCCGCCCGCCATCATCTCCTCGTCCCCCCCCCCCACAGATCACAGATGCCACTTATCTTGTACCTCCGTCCCTTCTCCTTCGTTTCTTCATCGTACCTTCCCGCTACGTACCAACACTATCCCACCGACTAACTCATCGCTAGTGCCACCTTCCCTTGTCCCTCCTCCGCCTTCCCTCGTCCTCATTCGCCCACTCCTCCAATGTCATCCGGAGTCACGGCACCACCGCAACCCAGTCGCTTTCCGCTCTACCCTGTCGGTACAGTACTCTACTTTCGCAGATCTCCCCTTCCCTTCAGGTCCCCTCCTTCGCCGCCTTCAGACGAATCCACTTCTCGACCACTCAGATGCACCACCGCCGACTTACCCGTCCTGGTCCCCATCTTTCTGTTTTGGTCCATCCTACTAAAAAGTCTTTTTTTTCTTTTCCCGGCGCCATATATTAATACTTCCCCATCCCCCCCCCTTCCGTCGGGATTCTTCTCTCCTCCTTCCTCTCCTTGTCCACGGGCGAAAAACATATTCAACCACAATCTCCACTCTCCCCTCCCCCCCTTCCCCCCCCCGAATCCGCTGCAATGGCGCGCGATCTCGAAGCCGGAAACGCCCAGGTGGAAGTCCGCCGGAGCATCGCCAACAATGAGAAGGAAGTCGAGCTCGACGAGTACAGCAACCTGGTCCGCTACATCTCCACCTACCGCGACACCAAGGGCGCCGCAGCTGCTGTTGACGAGCAGGAGGATTACGATGAGAAGACGCGTCCCTGGTACGCCTTCTGGCGCAAGGAGCTCGGTCCCGGCGGCGCCATCGATATCCCCACCGAGTGGCTCGAGACCGACATCGCCACGGGTCTGACCTCCGACGAGGTTGAGCGCAGGAGGCGCAAGACCGGCTACAACGAGCTGGCGGATATCAAGGAGAACATGTTTCTCAAGTTCGTCGGCTTCTTCCGCGGCCCGGTTCTCTATGGTACGTTCCAATTGCTCATTCTTACTCGCCGAGATTCTGCCATTGCCAGGTTGGCAATTCGAATGACGTGCTGACTCGTGGTTTTCTCCACAGTTATGGAAGTCGCTGTTCTCATCGCGGCTGGTCTGCGTGCTTGGATTGATTTCGGTGTCATTATCGCTATTCTGTTGCTCAACGCCGTCGTCGGCTGGTACCAGGAGAAGCAGGCTGCCGATGTCGTGGCCTCGCTCAAAGGTGATATCGCCATGAAGGCCACCGTCGTCCGCGACAGTGTTGAGCAGGAGATCCTCGCCCGTGAAATCGTCCCTGGAGATATTGTAAGCACTCCCACTCCCAACCAGCTCAATTGGCGAACCTCGCGCTAATAGTCTTCCCACAGGTCATCCTGGAAGGTGGTGGCCACGGAACGGTCGTTCCCGGTGACTGCCGTCTCATCTGCGCCTACGATAACAAGGAAGATGGATTCGCCAACTACCAAGCCGAGATGCGCGCACAGGGTCTCGTTGGCACGAAGGGCGGCAGCCCGGACGACGATGAGGAGGGTCTGCCCCACGGCGGCCACGCTCTAGTCGCTGTCGATCAGTCCTCAATGACGGGAGAGTCTCTCGCCGTCGAGAAGTACGTCACCGATGTCTGCTACTACACCACTGGCTGCAAGCGCGGCAAGGCCTACGCTATCGTAACCTGCTCCGCCAAGGGCTCGTTCGTCGGAAAGACCGCCATGCTTGTGTCTGGTGCCCAGGATTCTGGTCACTTCAAGGCAATCATGAACAGCATCGGAGGAACTCTCTTGGTTCTCGTCATGGCTTTCATCCTCGCTGCCTGGATCGGTGGTTTCTACAGACACCTGAAGATCGCTACCCCGGAGAACTCGTCCAACAACCTGCTCCATTACGCTCTAATCCTGCTCATCGTCGGTGTCCCCGTCGGTCTGCCAGTTGTTACCACCACCACCCTCGCCGTTGGTGCTGCGTACCTCGCCAAGGAGAAGGCTATCGTCCAGAAGCTCACCGCCATCGAGTCACTCGCTGGTGTTGACATTCTCTGCTCCGACAAGACCGGTACTCTCACTGCCAACCAGCTGTCCATCCGCGAGCCATACGTGGCTGACGGAGTCGACATCGACTGGATGATGGCTGTCGCTGCCCTGGCCTCTTCCCACAACACCAAGCACCTGGATCCCATCGACAAGGTCACCATCATCACCCTGAAGCGCTACCCAAGGGCCAAGGAGATGCTCATGGAGGGCTGGAAGACGCACTCTTTCACTCCCTTTGATCCCGTCTCCAAGCGTATCACCACCGTCTGCGAGAAGAACGGCGTAGTCTACACCTGTGCCAAGGGTGCCCCCAAGGCCATCCTCGCCATGTCCAACTGCTCCAAGGCTGTCGCCGACGAGTACCGCGCCAAGTCCCTCGAGCTCGCCCACCGTGGTTTCCGTTCTCTCGGTGTTGCCGTCAAGGAAGGTGAGGGTGACTGGCAGCTACTCGGTATGCTTTCGCTCTTCGACCCTCCCCGTGAGGATACCGCCCAGACCATCGCCGATGCCCAGCACCTCGGACTCCAGGTTAAGATGCTTACTGGTGACGCTCTCGCCATCGCCAAGGAGACTTGCCGCATGCTCGCGCTCGGCACTAAGGTTTACGATTCCGACAGACTTGTCAACGGTGGCCTCACCGGCAGCACCATGCACGATCTCTGCGAAAAGGCCGACGGTTTCGCCGAGGTTTTCCCCGAGCACAAGTACCAGGTCGTCGAGATGCTTCAGCAGCGTGGCCATCTTACGGCCATGACTGGTGACGGTGTCAACGATGCTCCATCTCTCAAGAAGTCTGACTGCGGTATCGCCGTTGAGGGTGCCACCGAGGCTGCCCAGGCCGCCGCTGACATCGTCTTCCTCGCCCCCGGTCTGTCCACCATCGTCTCCGCCATCAAGATCTCTCGTCAAATTTTCCAGCGCATGAAGGCCTACATCCAGTACCGTATCGCTCTCTGCCTGCATCTCGAGATCTACCTCGTCACCTCGATGATCATCCTCAAGGAGACCATCCGCGCCGAGCTCATCGTGTTCATTGCCCTGTTCGCTGATTTGGCCACCATCGCTGTCGCCTACGATAACGCTCACTACGAGAAGCGCCCTGTCGAGTGGCAATTGCCCAAGATCTGGGTCATCTCTGTCGTCCTTGGTTCCCTTCTCGCTTTGGGCACCTGGGCTATTCGCGGCACACTTTTCCTGCCAAACGGAGGTATCATCCAGCGCTACGGTTCCGTCCAAGAGATCCTCTTTCTTGAGGTCTCTCTCACTGAGAACTGGCTGATCTTCATCACCCGTGGCTTCGAGACCCTCCCATCCTGGCAACTCGTCGGCGCCATCCTCGGAGTTGACGCCCTCGCCACCATCTTCTGTATCTTCGGCTGGTTGTCCGGCGGTCTCGAGGAATCCGTCTCCGGCGACTTCCCCCACTTCCGCGGCGATGGATGGACAGATGTCGTCACCGTCGTCTGCGTCTGGCTGTACTCCATGGCCGTCACCGTCGTCGTCGCCATCGTGTACTACATGCTCTCGAACTGGTCGTGGCTCGACAACCTCGGCCGCAAGTCGCGCAGCGTCCAGGACACGCAGATCGAGAACATCATCAGCCATCTCAGCAAGATCGAACTCGAGCACGACAAGGAGAGGGACACCTGGAATATCAAGGCCAAGAGCGAGAACCTTGATGAGGATGACGAGTAAGCGATTCGCAAGGCGGATCCTACTCGACATACCTCTCTTCATACCCCTCCACTGCCGATACCTGCTCTGTCAATCATGAAACGGAAAGCTTTGGAGGGTGAAGATCCGATCAAAAGAAAGTAAAAATATAGACAAAAGCATAGAAAAAAAAGTCACATACCATACGTCTTCTCAGATCACACATCACATTGGCGAATCCGGCTCCACCAAAAGCCCGCGCCACTCTCTTCACATTTTCCTTTTAATTTTATTATATATTACATGATATCCTGCATAGACATCTAGCGGGGTTTGTCGGTGGCGGCAGGGTGCAATAGATTGGGATTTTTATACTTGTATATAGCGCGAGAGTGCAATAGACTTTGGTTTCTAATGACCCTTTTGGTTCCGTTCCCTTGCTCGTGGGTGCATGTATCTGTGATTTTCTTGGTGAAGTTGAGTGGAACGGAGTGAAGGGGGACATCACGCGACATGGGATGTCAGATGGATGGGAGTCACTTTGACAACTGGAGGGTAGGTATAGTACATGAGATGGATGGTAGCTTCGTAGTATGTAGTACATAACCCGCGTAGACCGACCGGGGAGGAGGGGGCAAAAAAGCTGGGTCCAAACTTACCTACTCCATCCCCTTTCTTGGCAGCGGGGGCGACTTTTACAGGGAGGCGGCCGGGAGCCGGGGGGTCGCGAAGCTTCTTTTTGGGGGGTTGGTGACGCGGGTGAGTGGGGGGTGAATGGGAATGGGGTTTGTGGAAGGAGTCACTCTCGAGGGGAGGGGGAGGGAGGGGTATATACCCCGCTCCGTTCGTCGATGTGCTCTGTGCCATCGCCATACCTTCATGTCGGGCTTCGACAGCGTCTCGATATCTTGTTAAGGTAACTCATTCTGGGGATAACTCACCATTCTCATGACCTCACTCATGTCTGGGGTCTGGCCAGTACGGAGTGGCTGAGGGGTGATATTGTTCGTTCTTGCGTCGGGGTGCTGTTGTTGATTAATTGTTGTCGCTGTGGTAGTTCCGTTGCCGACAGGATTCTGTCACCGCGCGCCGTGTTGCTGTCGATATGTGCTGTTGCTGGTGAGTTGTTGTCGTTGTGGAGGTCCTGCTGCCGACAGGCTTCTATCCCCGCGCGCCGTGTTCTTGTCGATATAACCACGAAGCATGAAGCGGCACTCCTCACTCCGACACTGGTATTTCCGAGAAAGCCCATCGTAGTTGCCACAATGTCATTTGCGTACGCTCCGCACTTGTATAGCACAAACTTTAATCGCTGGGTTGACCTCCTTCTCGTCGGTCTTAAACACCTCTCTGCCTAAAGCTCCTGCCGAGCGTCCAAATATGGCTTCGCTGGGGTGCGAATCTTGGTGTGGGTCGAGCACGCGAGAGGTCTTCGGGGGCGAGAGGCGGCATGGCGATTCGCTCGTGAGACAGGCTCGCGCGATGAGTGTTTCAGCGCGAGTCCTATATGCAGTTGTGGAGTGGGAAGGAGGGGTAATCCTTCTTGGACGTCATGGTGGGGGTAGAGGGGTAAGATAGCGGAACGTGCGGCCGCGTGCGGCCTCACGCGCCCCATGCGGTGATCGTCCCGCCCAGCCACGCGGCTATTTCGGCCGCGATGAGAACTAGCCACATGGCATTTCTTATCCTTTTGGGGAGGATTTGATATCTGTAGCCGCTGCTGACGCTGATTGGTGCGGTATATACTGAGAAGTGTAGGTAGAGACGAGGAAACGGGGTGTATTCTGGAGATCAGGGCGGACTTGATACATTGATACGCGAGCCCGCACGGTCGTTGGTGGTGTATAAAAGAAGGATTCCACGCCAAGAGATGGGTGATCGAGATCTTGAGATTGACAGATATTCGATTGTCATTTTGGCGCCTTGATAACATCGCCTGGTAGAAATTGCCATAACCATTGAACCATCACAATCAGGCCACCTTTGCTCGTACACCAACCCGCAGAAATGACGTTCCCATACAAGCATGTCCTCCTCATTGGAGCAACATCTGGTATCGGCAAGGCGATGGTCGAGCGCCTCATTGCCGAAGGCGTGAAAGTGACCGGCGTCGGGCGCCGCAAGGATGCCCTCGAAGAGTTCGAGAATGCGCACCCCGGCCTTGCTCGGGGTGCGGCGCTGGATATAACGCAGCTGGAAAGCTTCCTGGGTTTGCAAAACAGTAAGATTGGCCCTGTTGCGTTCATGGACGCATGCTCAGGTTCACTGCGTTGAAGTTGATGACAAGAGCTGATCTGATGCAGCATCACGGAGGCGCCACCGGATATCGACTGCCTCTTCCTGAACGAAGGAATGCAGCGACCCTTTAACTTTTCGAAGCCAGAGACCGTGGACCTGAACGTATTCCACGCCGAGACGACGGTAAACTACACTAGCCTGGTAGCCGTGACGCACGCGTTCCTACCGTTCCTGATCGTGAAGGAGGGCCCATCGGGGATTATCTTGCGAGTTGGGGTGATATTCCGCGGAGCTCCGCGTCGAAATCGGCGCTGAATGTGTTTGCGATGTGCTTGAGGGACCAGTTGCGTAATACGCATATCAAAGTCACCGAGATTGCCGCTCCGCCTGTGAAGAGTGAGTTCCCCTATGCATCTCTGCCGTGACCGCAGTTGCTGATCGCTGTAGCCGACCTTCACGACTATATGGGTGTTGAGGTTGGCCGAAACCTCGGAATGCCGCTGGATCAGTTCACAGAAGAGGCATACCAGGGTCTGTTGTCGGGCGATGATACCATCGCTGTTGGTGGGATTATGATTCCTGGGGCGAAGGAGGCGATGGCAGATATAGCGGCGGTGATCTGGGCGTTTAGGCTGGTGGTTGGTGCGGTAGGATAGGCCTCGAGGCACATCTCCTCTCATTCCTCTGATTCTGTACAATAGATCGGAATGCCTCGGTTTAGTTGGGCAGCGCTTTATAACATTGCTACCGCCGAACAATTCGGGATACCAATACATGATCCGGACTTGTGAATAGTGAGCAAGACAAACAGCACTTCGCGCTATTGTGTGAGATTCACGGAGAAATGTGTGACGCCAGCCTATTCTTATCTCCCGGGGCGGTTCTTGGGTCTTTTATAGCTCGGCTCATTTTGAAGTTCGTTCCTTCCCTAGGTTCTGTTCCTGCCTGACGTTCTGTGCCCCTGAAAATCGCTTGTCGCTGATGAGAGAAAATTGTGGGGCGATCTTCATCCGAGTCAACAAACGACCACCCCTGAAACTTTAATTGAACAACAGCCCAATTGACTGATCCTGGTGCGTTTGAGAATTACCTGCCAATTCTCACCTTCAACATATCAATGGATACGGATCCAATAATACAACATCATAATTTTATGGTATGCGAAATTTATTTTATGTCACGTGTTCGCATAATCTCGGCTTAAAATTCGGCGTCAATAGCCGCGATTATGGTGATACGCCTATTAGGAAGACTCCGGAACGGAGCCACCATTTGAGATAATATTTACTCTGCTGTAAAGATAATCTCACAGAGTTCGCCAGGAATTATGGCTACAAAATTGAGACAGTTGCCCTTGCAAGCGGCACTTCGTACAGCAACACGCTGCGCACCGCGTCAACAGCGCCATTTCGCGTCGACCCCGAAATGTTCCATAGACGGCGTGTATGGGGAATTGACAGCAATGAGGACGCGGACTCCCTTCATTGAGGCATTCCGGAAACAGCAGGAGGGTGACCAATCAGCACCAATAAGTTCGCCTGTGGGAGAGAAGGCGCCAATTGACACCACCCCAAAACGGATGTCGGAGAGTTTCCATAAAGTGGTCAGTAATTACGGGATAACTTTACAGTACGACTATATTGACGGTGGTGTAGACCTTGCCTCTTGCGCGTGATCCATGGCTTCTTGATTCATACATCAATGCCACGGGCCACATCCGGCTCGGGACGATCTTTATGGATCTCGATGCGCTTGCTGGCGTTGTGGCATACAAGCACACCGGAGACTCGGTCATGACGGTGACGGCGGCTGTGGACAGGATCACGCTAAAGCACCCTCTAACATCTATCTGTGATCTTGAATTGAGCGGACAAGTGACCTTTGCGACGGGCAGGAGTAGTATGGAGATCTCCCTTAAAGTTGCCAAAGCGCCAGAAGAAGGAAAGGAAGCAAAGGGGGAAGATATCCTCTTGACCTGCGCGTTCACTATGGTAGGCCATCTTGTCGAGTGTATCTACGCAATACTGACAGTTCAAGGTATCTCTGGACCCGGACACCAAGAAGCCTGTCAACATCAGCCCCTTAAAACTTGTGACCGATGAAGAGCACAGGCTCTACAAAGAAGGCGAAGAGAACTATACCGCCAAAAAGGAGCTCTCCAAAATTGCCCTCCGTAAACAAACCCCCAACGACGAAGAATCAGACCTCATTCACGCTCTCTGGCTCAAGCAATCCGAATACTCAGGTAACCCTATTTCTCCTCCATCCCACGAACCACACTCACACTCTACAGATGCGACCAGCGCAATGCAAAAACACGCCAACGCTCACTACATGTCTTCATCCTTAGTCCAATCCGTACAGATCATGCAACCCCAGTACCGTAACAGGCACAACTTCATGATATTTGGCGGTTTCCTCCTGAAATCCACATTTGAGCTGGCCTTCACCTGCACCTCAGCCCTCTCACATGCGCGCCCACGTTTCCTCGCCCTTGACCCGTCGACGTTCGCGAATCCCGTCCCGGTAGGCTCGGTATTATACATGACCGCCGTTGCGGCGTACACGGAGCGTGGGGTCGGGGGTAGCACTCGGGTGCAGATTCGGGTGGACACGCATGTGCGCAGTGTGGAGCACGGGGAGGTGCGACCGACGGGACAGTTTAATTATACTTTCGAGGTGCCTGGGGAGCTGAGTGTCGTGCCGCAGACATATGGAGAGTTTGTTATCTATTTGGATGCGAGGAGGCGAGCGATGCGGGTTGCAGGGAGGGCCGAGAGTGGTGCTGAGGGCGCGGGCCAGGATGGGATTTTGGGTTAGACGAGTTGTATTTGATATAAATGTTGAGATAAAAGACGGCCTGGATCTGGTGGTGATTCTATATTTACCTACATATTGTTTCTCGATACGTCGCGGGTTAAACCGCTATTCCAGAAGAACTGTATTAGCTTCTAGCTCCTAGTGTCATTTTACCTGCTAGTCTCATATTTGAAGCTTTCAGTTCAGCACGGCTCATGTTCTTATTCTCGGATGCTTATTCAACAGCAACCGTAACAGCAACCATTTATAGGGACGACCATAACTGTACTTCCACGAGCAGCAGCACCACGACAGCAACACCGCAACAACAACAGCACCACGCAAACTACCCCAATGACAAATGACAGCAGTACTTTGCGTTGACAGCATTACCACTACCAAGAAGAACCTCAACCGCCGAGCTCCACCTGCCTTCGTCTGCGCTTGCAAAACAACTCAAACCCGGTTCTTTCCTCTGGGCAGCGATCCGTCTTTCCTATTCTCCGTACAGATCGTCTGGCTCAGGGCGGCGATGGTCCTTTTATACCACTTGAGCATGGGCTGAAGTTGGTTATCGCAAGGGAGGACTACAGATGGACATCAATCGATCTTCACAAAGGCGAGTATCGCTGTGGGGTTGGAGAGGCCTTGGTCTCTTCCACGAAGAAACGAGGGGAGAAGACGAGGGTGTCTATCGAGGATTAATAGTGACTACCGCAGTGAGAGCAAACAGAGACGACAAGAGTACTACTACGATAGCATACTGCTCCGCTGACAACAGCCCCAGGCGGTGACAGAATCTCCACCCCTGGAAACCCATGACCCTTTTACCATCGTTACCACAGCAGTCGATTCAATTATCCTCCGTATTTCGCCGCTAGTTATCAACAATGGCCGAAACCTCGTGCTCGTATCCGTGACACCTCCCGTCACATTCTTTCCGCTCTAGTTAGACGCTCGGATCCTCGATGCTCTCGTCAAGAGCCTCTCTTCGCAATCATCCGAATGCTTGTTGCATTAGTGCGAGATGGATGGGTTGTGCAGGTGCGGGGCGGGCGAATGGGCATGGACCGGGAAGGAGGCAAGGGAGAATGCGCCACTGGCGGTATATTGACCAGTTCCAGACCCCCTTGGCCATGAGCTAATGGAAAACAGCCAGCATGCAGATAAGCGCGTTGCGGAGCGCTGATATGGGTGGTAGTGAGGGTGATTAGATGTATGAACGTGATGAAATCATACCCCATGCGCTATCCGCGCATTTTGCCCCTGGCGCCTTTCTTGTATGTCTCATGTTCCTGACGCTATTTTTAATGTGACTGATGGTTATATCGCCTTTCTCCACCCCTTTGCCGCTATGATGGGCTAAACATACTCGCAGCTGGCAAAGCTTTTGTCGTGGGGTATAAAATCAATATCTACGGTTCGAGTTGAATAAAAAAGCAACATGCTGGATTGGCTACCTTCTGGGATACCGTCGTCGCGAGTGAGTGAGCTCTATATTGCTGCAGATTTCGTTTGTGCTCAGAAACCAACCTGCAGTGTGTCCAGTAGTTAGTCAGTTAGTCGGTTTGTTATGCAGTTAAACAGTTGGTTTTCGCATTACGCAGTTCTTGGCAGTTGGTTTAAAGATTATGCCGTACAGTCCGTAGTTGGTTCTTGGCAGTTCAAACTGCAGTTTGAATTGCCTAATGTGAAAATTTTATCAGCCTAATATATGAGTACCATATAGTGAAAACTCTGCATCTTCGTGATCTATAGCTTCATTCTTTGGCAATAATGGCATCACCACGTCTAGTCTATTGGTAGATTTTGACACTGCTCAGTTTGAAACATTTGATACTCAAAGCGACGCACCTACACAATCCTCTCTGTCTCTTACAAGCTGAAAACAAGTCAAAACCATAAACGCCGTTGCCTTTCTACAGTCGATACTCAGACACTAGATCCTGCAGTACTTGAACACTTATATGTCCGATGGATTGTAAGCTGTGGAGTTAGCTTTCGCATGGCTTCAAGAGAGGAATTCCGGTCTTTGTTACAGTATCTAAATCCTGAAGTTAATAACTGGCTTCCACACTCAACAACAACTATTCAACTATGGACTATTCGAACATATAATACAGAGAAACTCCGTATACAGCAAATGGTACAATCAGCACTTTCAAAAGTCCATTTTACAGTTGATCTATGGACCTCTCCAAACTCTCTTGCAATTATTGCTATCATTGGTCACTATATTGCAGAAAATGGAGACTTGCAGCACTCGGTACTTGCTTTACAAGAGCTTGACGGACAACATACAGGCCAGAACCAAGCTGAAAGTATTATGGGGGTTATCAATGACTACGGAATTGCTTCAAAGGTTGGTTATTTCATGATGGATAACGCAAGCAATAACGATACAATGATAGAAGCATTGTCTACATATATGTATAAGCAATTTATAGGTTATAATATATAACGTAACGTACATGTATAGCGAAAGCGCCAAACAAGCGAAAGCGCCAAAATGATGCGGTGACCAAACCCCCCAACTAAATGTTAAATTCCTCAACAACAAAACATGCCCCATAAAAACGATGAAAGCCAATTAGTGCTAGCTATCCAGGCTATGCAAAGCGACCCAAAGTTATGCCTTCGAGTTGCTGCTAGGATCTATTCTGTGGACCACCGCAAGCTAGGTCGTCGTCTAGAAGGTGTACCTTCACGACGCGATATCCAAGCCAACTCACGGAAATTAACTAACCTAGAGGAGTCCGTCCTTGTTCAGTATATACCGACCTAGCTGCCAAAGGGTTTCCTCCTCGGCTGTCTGTTGTTGAAGATATGGCAAGTCGACTACTTGCAACACGCGACG